TTCCAAAGCACCCTTTAAAAGCTGGTGAGCTTGTTGTCCTCCGCTTCCCTTGGCTTGGCTGGGCAAGGCTGGCTCCTGCCCCACCGCCACGAGCCAGTGCCTACAGCCCGAGCAACTCCTTTCTGAATGAGCACTGTGACAGCTGGGCCTTGTACCAGCAGAGCAGAGCTGTGAGCTGGCAAGAGCACCTTGGGCTTTATAGATCACGTTTTGGGAAGTGTTTGCCACATGGCATATAACTAATCTGAAGTATGAATGCGTACATGGTTGGACTGTGGAGTAGATCCAAGTGGACGTGAAGCTGAAGCAGGGATGCTGCAGTGCAGGGGAGGTTGTGGCCATGAGCCTGAAAAAACAGCAGGAAAGAAGCTCATGGAGGGGCTGCTGGCTGGTGTAGTGCAGACCAGCCTCAAAAAGGAGTGAGGACATCGGTGGTCATCACTCAAGACCTCACCAGAGTGAGTAGTTGCTTAATAAAACAAAAAATGAGCATCTCGAAACCTGCTTTGCAAAATAAGGTTGACTTCATGGAGGTTTTGTGGAGATTTGAGAGAGCTTTTGGTCTCTGCTGCAGAATGGCAACAGTGGAGGGGGGAACCTGGCACCTTTTTCAGCTGTCACAGCAGCTCAGAGCCAAGTCTGACCCACACGGCGCAGAGGGGCTGGGATAACTTGCAGCCCCAGCACAGTGATCCGTACAGCAAACAATATTGGAAATTAAAGGTCAGAGAATTGATAGTAAGGCTTAAGAAAACAGCAATTAGGCTGCTAGGAAGAAAAGCTAAATTACCAGTAGTAGGAGTAGTAGGGGGGGGGAAAAAAGGGGATTATTGATCTAAATATCAAGTTGGCAGATACACAGAGTACAATCTAGAGGTTTTTTACACCTCTGGGCTTATTCAACCCCCACAATAAAAAATGCAGACCCATAAAGATGGAATAAGAAACAATCAATTAGGATGGCATTTGCTTGTTTCCGTGCTGCGGCTGGGCAGACACATCACAATTAATGATTTATTAGGAGATTTTCATCACTTTTTTTTTTCCCCCATTTTACACAGATTGCTGCAACCAGACCGCAGTTGTTTATTAATTTGCCTTCTATTCGAGCATCTTTGTTAAAAATATCATGTGGAAAAGGTAAACCCTTGGCTGGGGTGCCAGCAGGGGGTTGGGTGGATGCTGTGGGTTGTATCCAGGCTGGGTGCTGTTCCCACAGTTGGTGTGGGCAAGTGTGACCCTCTGAGTGCTGGGAGCAGAAACTGGGGAGGGATGGAACTCCCCACCACCACGTACACACGTGCACTCCTTCACTCTCATTTCAGTTTCTCTCAGCCTGAGGGACCCAGAGAGAATATTCAGCACTTTGCAGCAGTCAGAGCTGTCAGGGGAAGGGCTCAAAGTCTAATAAGAGGACTGAGATGCCCTTATTCTTCTGCGTTAATCCATAGCTATAGGTCATGAAACACTATTTCTCCAGGCAATTCTACCTTCATAAACTGCTGCTGCCTGGAACAAATGTTGCGTCATCATTAACAAATTTTGGAGGTGACAGAAGGATCTTTCCTGCAGACATTCATGTGAGCAGGTCTTTGCTTTCACAGCTTTTTAGCAAAACCAGCTAGGGGGGGAAAAAAAGAAAAAAAAAAAAAGTAAGAACAATGGAAAAAAGGAATTCCCTTTAGAAGAAAACCTGAATAATAATCTTTATATTCATCTGTCTCAATTCCACACCTCCCTGGGAGTGGCTGCAGTGAGCTAATTGGTTTTACTTGGCTGTGCGTGGCTTCACGGCCCAGACTCCTGATTTATTGCACAAAGTCAAGTCATGGTGTGAATTCATCACTTGTCCCCCACATCAATCCCTTTCTCCTCCAGAATGATATTTGTCTGTGTGTTTATGTGCTGTCAGGTCCAAGTGAGATGAAAGACAAAGTCTGGGATTAACCAATTTTAGTACCAAACCAAAAATCAGAATGAATTATTACCTTTTCAGCAAGACCTGATTTCAGACAGCCCAACTCCAGAGGAGTGGGAGAAGGACTTTTACCAGCAGAGGCTTTTATAGGAGGGGAGGAAAAAAGACCCTACAGAATTGAAGGGTTTTAGAACATGCCAGTTTCAGAACAAATCCTTATCTGAGAAGGGAAGCGAAGTGTGTAACAATCAACCATAGAAATCCTGGTGAATGGTCTTTAGAAAGCACTCTGGAAATTAAGGACTTCAAATGCAACCATTGAAAGTGAAGCTAAATGAAATACAGGGGAATATGAGTAAATGCTACAGGTATAGGTCAAGCACTGCTTTATCAATCTTGTGTTTACTCCAGCAGCTCTTCCATTGCCCATTGTTTTACCTTGTTTGAATAGATATGCTTCCCTTTATTTGAAAATCAATTGTAATCTTATGAAAGAGAACTTACAGCAGAGGGAATGCTGGAAAGCAGCGTAGTGAAAGATGTTCATTATCCTGAATTACTCCAGGGTAGGGAGGGAATGACATTAAAGAAGTGTGGGTAGCTTTGTGCTGCCATCCTTCCTTTAGCAGGTGTAATTTACTGTCATTGCTTAATTGTATTAAAGGTAAAGACAATTGTGGACAATACACATTACAGCATTTACCTCTAATAATAGTTGTGGGGGAGTGTGAGAAGGAGGAAATTCAGGATCAGGTTTGAATTCCCAGTAGCTGCTTGTTGGTACCTGATGAAAATTGTTCTGTTCTTCATAGCACATCTCTCCAAGATTCCCTTGTTACCCTGAATAGTTTTGGATGGCTCCTTCAATTCCAGTGAAGATGCTCTGTTCTCATCAGAAAAATACTTTGCTTTGTAAGCATAATAGGCAATGTCTATTCTCAATGGTGCTTAGGACTGATAATTTCCTAACTATACCTAATAGAGGTCAACAAGTGGATGAACTCCTGGATTGCCCAGTATATACTGAGCATTGTGGTATTTACCCTAATGGAAAACCTCTACAGGCAGGTGTGATCTTCCTCCAGGCTTTATATTGGCATGAGCTTGTGTATTTATGATTTTTAATATACCTCATAATATAAAATATGTCATGTAAGCTTCATAGCTGTGGACTGAAAACAGGTGCTGTGATGGCTCTTAGAGAAGCTGCTGTAAAATCTGTTGGTGACTGTGGGGGACTTTTCCATGTAACCCAAACCCATTGGCAGCACCTGGGCTCGGACATACAAAAGGTGTTCAGCAGCCTGTAGGACTGGCCCTCTCAAACGTCTTAGATACACCCCATGGCTTACTCTTGGTGAGTTAATTCTGCAGGGCATAAAACAGATGCTGGGTCAAAGATTTGAGATGGTTTCACAAATTCCTTAGTTCCTTTGGAATTACTATATGATACTGTGTTGTCATCGGTGCGACCACTTCCTCCAAGAGATCGAGGGCTCATCAGCTTGTCATTGCTGCCATGCCACAACATTATTTAATGTAATGGGCAATGACTAGCGTGGATTTAGGAAGAGACTATCCTGTTTAACTAATCCCCTTCAGTTCTTCGGAGCAGGTTTCAAACGAGGTTGATAATAGAATGTACATATGACATAATCTAATGGATGTTTCAAGAGGCTTTTGATAAATTTCCATATATTTCCCCTGCTTAAGCTGTGTGCCACAGAGACTCCAAATTGGGCAGGAGAATGGGTAAAGAATAAGTGAAATCATGGGAAATAAAGAGAAAAGAAGAGCTGTAGCAGGCACTGGAATTTGAATTATCCTGCAGCTTCCCACTGTTCTTCCCCACCACTCAGCATGGCTGGAAAGAGATGCCATCTGCATTCACTAATGAAAACTTGTTTAGGACAGGTGCATAATAGAAAAGAGGGCAAGATGCCATCCAGGATACCACTAAAGGGCAGATTTAAATTTACATTAGCATAATGCAGATTGAATATTTTTCCTGTCAGTGGTGAAATAATATATACTAAATATAAGCATCCATAACTGGAAGATGCCAGTGGATGGAGATGGGTTACAGGGGAAGCAGACTCTTGTGCTAACAAAGGAATGATTTATTATCATTTACACAACCTGGCATTTGTGCACACCAAAGGCCAGATTTTAGAAGTGCTCTGCTCCTGCAGTTTGGGGCCAGGATTTCAGTTACAAACTCCGAGCCAGCCGCTCCCAGCATTTCCCCAGTGTTTAATTTGCCATATGCCAATCAGAGTGTTGATTTGCAAGTGCTGCTAAAAGGCAATGCTGAGAGATGAGGACAGTTGAAAATTTGGGAATGTGTCTTAACTGGCAGCTTTTGAGCCCCAAACACTGGAAGTATTCACAGGCCAGGATCCCTGATCAGGCATGTGATAAATCAGGGACTGGAAAGCAGGAAAGAATGCAGCTAATGTGTCAGGATATGCCTGAACAGGACATGCTCCATAAAAATCAGTGCTAAATGAGAGAATTAAGCACCAGGAAAGGCTGTGGCAAAATCATAAGAAACACTTCAAATAATGAGACCAAATCAAGGGCAAGAAAGAAGGAAAATGAAGTAAAATCACCAAAGAAGCAATAAAATGACATCACTGAAATCTGAGTGAGGCAAAATACCTTGGGATAAAGGGACAGAGTCATCCTAAAAAGTTTAGATGTTTTAGTCTACTATTTTCCCCTGCTGTTGACAATTAACTCTCTCGTTGCTGTAACTGAATGAGCATATCAAGAACATTTTGGTTTTTGCTTCCCTGGAGCATTGGCTGGAGCTTGTGCAGTGACTGTGTGATAGCAGGCTTGCTCTCCTTTGGGCTGAGAGGTGAAACTAGACTTTCAGAAAAGTATTCATAGTTTAAAAAATAGCAAAATCAGAAAAAAGGGATGTGAGAAAGAGATGTGTTGCTCATTACCTATAACCCCACAGTCCTCTCCACGGGACAGGTTTTCCAGTCAGCCTGGTGATGTAGGGGAGAGGGGAGGTGGCCACAGGGACGGACAGAAAGCTCTCACCGTGACCACTCCTGTCTTTTATTTGCAGTATTCAGGAGAGGTTCCTGAGAACAGAGTGGAGGTTGTGGTGGCAAATCTGACGGTGATGGACCGGGACCAGCCTCACTCCCCCAACTGGAATGCCATCTACCGCATCATCAGCGGGGACCCCTCCGGGCACTTCACCATCCGCACAGACCCCGTCACCAATGAGGGCATGGTGACCGTGGTGAAGGTAAGGGGGAAGCCAAAGCAAATCCATGTTTATCACCCTTTCAACTTCCTAAGGCTACAGGGATTGCCAGGAGCCTGCAGTTATTTCATGCCTTCTCTACCTGGAAAGATAAGTGCTTGGATCTGTTGTTTCCTGTATCTCTGTTTCTGAGTTTCCCACCTCAGCCCAGCTCACAATCAGCTTTCAAAAAGCCTCACATGCTGAAGGGTCCTCCCAGCACCCAAGCCTGACTTCCACCTCCTGCTTCTCCTTAGCTCTTAGACCACTCTAAGAGGGAACAGGGCTGTGCAGCCCCGTCTTTCTTGAGCCAGAAAACCCCTGATTTACTGTGAATCAAGGGTAGTGTTTCACTGCAGGGCTCAGTTGAGTGATCCTCTGCGACAGCAGGGAGTACAGGAGAGATACCAGGAGGAGTAAATTTCCTGGTAACAGAAGGAAAGGAGATTTTCCCTCTGATTGAGTTGCTTGGAAGGAAACAATGTAGAGAAATTTTCCTTTTCCTGGTGTTAAGTGATAAATACACAGCGTGGGACAAACCCTCAGCTCAGGATAGCTCCACTCAAGTGAAAACCACCCCTTAGGTTAGATCAGCAGAGGATCTTGTCTAAAAACTCTGAGAAATAAGACTGTAAATATCCACCATTCCTGCTTCCCTCCATTTCCTACAGGAGCTGGAAGCCTCAAGGTATCTGCAGCAAGTATCAAATTGTGCTTCCTTCCTTACCTCCAAAGAACAGGACTTTATCTTCACTTGAACATTCACTTCCCTTTTGATTTCTGAGGCTAGGGAGCGTTTCTGCAGTCATTACACACAGCCAGGACATCACTGGATCCCTTCAGCATTCACTGAAGCCCTTCCCAGATAAGATGCCCGTGGATGCTCCCTCTAACTACAAAAAAAAGAGAAGACATCACACCTAGGCTGTTGTGATGTGTAAGAGCTGCACAACACCGTGCACTGCACCTGGGAAGGATAATACCCACACCCACTATGATGGATAAAGCCATCAGCACCTTCTAAGAAGTCTGACCTTCTCTAACAAAAAGTTTTAATCACAAACTTAGGATGAAGTACTAATGTTTAAAGAGCAATGTGATTTAAGAATAGCTCTTTGTTGAAAAAAGAGCCCTGCTTCCTTCTTATTAGCTAAACAAGTTGCAGTCATTCCTAATGTGCACAGTTTGGGTATTAGGAAAAATGACATCAGTGAAATGCCAGTGAGGTTACACTGGTAGGAACGTGTGAGCTTGTGAGCCTGTCCTGTTGTCTGACCCTTAGGCTATGTGTGTGTGTGTGTGTCTGCAGATGTTGCTTTGCTGAAACTTCAAGGGAGACATCATCTTACCTGCCAGATGGTATTTCAGCAGGGTCCTTTTATTTATCACTCCTTATTGCTCTGTAATGATGGTTGACAGCCTTACCTGGTACAACATTATGAAAGCTCTTCGAGCTTAGCAGTAGCTCTAGACACGTGTATGTGGGTGCATATATGTGTGTAAGTGTACACATATCCTTGTTTCTATATGTTCTACTTAAACAGAAAACATTCAACAAAGTAAAATGCTAGAATTTAGCTTCCATTGACATCAGCAGTCAGTCTGAAGTCAGAATGCCAACGTTTTCATTGCAAGCAGAGGAGAACCCCTTATTTTTAATATAGCAAAGTGGCAGGACTGTAGTTTAAAGGCATATCAAAGTGAACAACAGGGGATTTGCATGATCATCACTGCTGCACAAGGACTTGTGCATAATGAACCATCCCCTTATTCGGGACTTGCAGGCAAAACACAGGGCAGATTTGTCAAGACACCACTGATGCTGATGTTGACTTTCCACTGCTGTGTAACCCACAGTGATCACAATGCAGAGAACCACATGAAAATCCCATCTTGTCAAGCTGAGCTCAGAGCTTGAAATTGCACTGAATGTCTTCACTATCTCACCTCACCTGATCCTCCTGGGCACCCAGAGTTTCCTACCCCTGTCAAGCCGGGAGGCTTCTTGGTGTATTTTCAGCAAGGAGAATGAGTGAAATTGCTTGTGATTAAATTTTCATGGTGAAGAAGGGAAGACTCTTAGGATTCCACCCTCTTCTTTGAAATATTTTGTTCTCTGTTAATAAGTGAATATGCTTAAAGATCTGGGCTATGTACGTGCGCCAGCCTGGGTGGCCAGTCAGAGCTTGTTCTTCACAGTGTAGGAGCAGTGTCTGGCTGGTTTGATTACTGATGTAGGTTGAAAACACAGGTAAAAAATTAAGTCAAGTGATGATCCTTTTATTTACAGACCCTACATGGCTGGATTTTAATGTGGCTCATTAAATCTGCTTACATATAACTCCTCACTGCTGCAAGCAAAGGGGCTTGTGTCTGGGCCATGGCAGTCACAGCAACAGAGCAGAGAAGTGTGTTCTGTGAAGAATCCCACCAGTTCACCAGCATTTGGGGGCCTGAAATGGAGGGCCAGAAATGTTTCCAAACCAAAAAGCCCTTTGGAGTTCGATGATGCTCATGGGGGCCATTTTGCAGCTGCCCTCAGCAAAACCCCATCTACAGCTCCAGTCCGATCACCAAAAATGTAACATTTCCCTTTTCTGTTCTTGCCTTTCCAAACCATTTCCATAACTGTGCAAGACTCTAATCTTCAAAGAAAGCCTTGATCAAGGGGAGAGAGAAGCTTCCCACTCAGATGAGACACCACAGAGTCTGAAGACAATCTCCCAGAGCAGCAGTGGCTGCCCTGTGGCAGCCAGCTAAGTAAAATGTTATTATAAACTCTGCATGGATCAGAGCTGTGAATTTCTAATGGAGATGCTGCCGAAGCTTCAGTTATTATTTGCCTCAACTGTAACATCAGGCAAATTTGTTCACTTCAGTCAAAAGTACCTTGAGAAAAGGAGGACACGTGGCAAGCCCTCGGCATCCCGCTGCTGCATCCAGGTCGGAGATGCTCGTGAAGGAGGAGGATGTGCTGCGTCTCCAGGGGGATATTTCAGAGCCGCCTGTGCCAGATCAGATAACAAACATCCAGCAAGGGGGGATCTGCAAAAGTGCTGCTTTTTAATTTTGTGTCAAGTGCTTCTTGGACGTGAAAGTAAAAAGCAGGCAACAGCCCAACAGTGTCGCAAGTGTCCAAGTCCTTGTCCCAAATGCAGCGACTCTGTGGGCTTTTTCAGGATCCTGTTGTCATAGAATCAAAGAATCATTTTAGTTGGAAAATACTTCTGAGATCATCAAGTCCAACTGTTAACCTAGCAATGCCAAGTCCACCGTGTCGCTAAAACCACGTTGAATGACCAATATGCAGCTTTTTTCAGTGAGGTGCAGGGAGGCAGAAGGGATTAGAGCAGTATGAAGAACACAGTGTTCTGTGTGCTATTATCCTCAGAGGGAGGCAGTTTTAGGGAGCAGAAATAAGAACTGTTCAGGTAGAAATTGCTTATTATGGTGTGAAAGAATTTCTGGTTTAGGACTGGACTATGTCTGCCTCAAGGGGCTGCTGTCCCACAGGGGTCGATAGCACAAATGCTGCCAGAACAGGTGGAGGTGCAGATTGGCTGTGGTCAAGTTAGGAAACAGGTGAGCATTAAAAAAAAAATAAAATTAAAAAAAAAAGAATCAATATTATAGGAATATAAATTTGAGGGGTGTGAAAAGAAATTGAGGAAATGCATTAATCAAATTGTTTCAAGGCCTTTAACTGGGAACTTTTACAATGCATCATTTTTGAATGCGGTACAAGTCTGTGAGTCAGCAAGGGTGGGTGTACTGGGAATCTTTATGCTTCCTTTTATTTATTAAATGTTGGCCCTGCCTGTCAGGAAATCATTTAGCAATGGGAACATTTGCACTTCAATCGAATAGAGATTCCGCTGTTTTACCTCTTGCCCCTGGAATTTGTTTCTCTCGTGTAGCCTCCTCTGATTTGATTTCTCTCCTGACAATACTGGGTATTAAACAGGACATGGCAGCCAGATCTTGCTGATGTAAATGAGCCCAGCCCTGCCGAAGTCAGTGGTGTTTTACACCGTGAGTGTTTGCTTTGCAGACTCAGCGCTGGAGAAGGTATTAAGGAGAGTGGTTATGCTTCTAAATTTATAAATCACGGCAAAGCGTTTTTTAACAAGCAGAGGTGTGATCCTGCATAACTCAAGGCTCCCTGGCAGATGATTAGCAACTTCCCTCGTAATAATTAGTGGGATGGTTTAGAAATTATTATTATTATACTGGGTTCAGTCAGTCGTGCCAGCAAAGGCTTTTCACTCCGTCTGGCTCCTGAGACACATCCTCTTCATGTGCCTGTTGAGAAGAGATCTGTGACCTCCCAGCAGCAATACCCAGCTGCAGGAGTGTGCAGGAAAACTCGGGGCACGAGGGTGGTGCCTTGCAGGAGGACCAGAGGTCCCACTGGAAGGACCACCTGCTTAACCAGGCCAGGCGTTGTTCCTGGCAGCTCCACCGTTTCTTGTAAACTCATTTAAGGGGAAAAATAAAGAGCCCTTCAGGCTCATGAGTCCACATGGACCGTCCTAGTTACATACTCAGCAGTTTTCAGTGCTAATAGCACTGCTAAGCACCCGTCCCATCCCTCTTAAGAGGCTTCACCTGTTGCATTAGACCAGCCCTGGGTGGGTTTGTTCATTTGATGCTCCTCTCTCACAGGAAGGTTCTCTTTTGGAAACCACTTAGCATTGGAACAAAAAACAGGGCTAATCCTCCCTGCTGTTTGCAATTTTTCCTTAGTGTATTTGTTTTAATATTTGACCTTCAAACACTGGAAGGCCAGAACCTCCACTGGATTGAAGCTGGTCTGGATTTGCACCTTCAAAAGAACTGAACTCAGGAGAAAACAAGATGAGGCAACGATTTTGGTATCTGCCTTCTAATCTTGCAGCTTTCAGCCAGAAGGTAGAATTCATTCTCTGCTTGGCTCTATACTTGCTTGTTTGTTTGTTTTAGGCAGTCGATTACGAGATGAACAGAGCTTTCATGCTGACAGTGATGGTATCAAACCAAGCTCCCCTGGCCAGCGGCATCCAGATGTCCTTCCAGTCGACAGCAGGAGTCACCATTTCAGTCACAGATGTCAACGAAGCACCATATTTCCCAACGAACCACAAGTTAATCAGGCTGGAGGAAGGGGTGCCAACAGGAACAGTCCTGACAACGTTTTCAGCGGTGGATCCCGATCGCTTCATGCAGCAGGCAGTAAGGTGGGACACCAGGCAGCCTAGGGCACTCCCGTACAGGTGGGGGGTTCAGCTGCAGAAGTTTGGGGAGCCAAGCAGCTGAAAGCTGATTTCCAAACTGACTGATGTGATATGAATAAAATGCTTGGCAGGGCCTGACTTGCAGGCGAGTGCTTGCAGAGTACCCCGCAAGCCTGTGAACTCACAATCCTGCCCGCTCCGGATAAGCTGGACTGTGAGTAGCTGGGTCTGGAGGGGCAGACAGAGTTGGATCCCATGTTACTGGCTTGCCATAGGGCAGATCACACCTTCAGATGAAGCAGGTGATAACAAGAGGTTCCTGAGTTGGTACAGAGGTCAAGGCTGCGCTGTACCCTTTGTCTCTGCCTTGCCCAGGATGCTCTGACCTGTGTTGTTCATGCACTTCATAAACACAGAGGTTTAGAAAAAGGCAGCTTTGTAATTTCTGCGTTACAGGTGGGGAAACTGAGGCACAGAAAGGGCTAGGCCTGGATTTTCGAAGGGAATGCCTGGGATTTTTAATCATGCCTTGTGTTGTTTTCAGAGGATTTAGGTTCGAAGAGCTGTCAGCCCGGTTCAGAGCAAGGCTGGGGAGGTTACAAACAGCTGCTGGGCAGGCTTTTAAGGTGTCATATAGTTCAGTATTGCCTGAGCAGTCAAACACCCATTCACAGGCCACTGACACTTGGTCTGTGTCTCACTAAGGCTCCCCAGCAGCCCTTCCCTGCTCTCAGTAAGTACAATTCGTTCTGACCTTCCCTTTCTCTTCAGACAAGGTGCCAAGCACAGCCTCCTCCTTAGCTGCTTTCCCTTTGAAAGGGATTTAGCTGGCAAAATTTTAGCTTTGTAAAAGTCGGATCTAAGCATTTTAAGAGCATTTTTAGTCTGTGCTGTGACCGGGAGGGTGTCACTCACTCTGTTTGTCCCACCTGGGCAGACGGGGGACTGAATCCACAGTCCAGGAGAGAGACTCACACGCCTTCCCACCAGAAAATAATTGGCAGAAAAGTGTGTGTGAAAATGAGAGTCCTTGTGACACTTCCACGACTATTTCAGCTTTGTCTGTGCGGACGGGAAATGGCATTTCCTGCTTTTGGATACTTCTATATCCATAGAAATTTGTTTCTTTTTTACTCCCAGCCTGTAAGGACTGTAGTATTTTTGGCAAAACCTAAGTAGACGATGTGACCGCAGCTGGGGCCACTTAAACTTACATCAGTTGTGACATTTTGTGTCAGGAACAGTTTGAAATATTTCACCTGGCACAGAGCTGTCTGGTCTAGAAAATGATAGTTTATTCACTGCCTCCTCTTGTTGTCTTTAGACAGGTATTGTGACTTTGGAGGAGAGAGACCATCCTAACTAACAAGCCCATTTTTCTTACGTTCTTTTTGAAATACTGGCCTTTGAAGGGTCTTTATTTCCCTGATGTCTGTACCAAGGCTGGTTTTCAGAGGAGAGAACAGCTCCTTTCTGATTGAGTGCTCCCTCTAAGGTGGAGGTGGGTGATCAGTAATCCAAACGAGCGCCTGCCATTCCTGTCATCGCACATGTAGGGTCTTGTAAGACTTTCTGGGAATGTGAACAGGCAGTTACTTGAACTGTTTCTTTCCTAGGGCTTCCAGGACACACATTTTGTGTATTCACCAGCACTTCATTTCCAAACCCAGTACAGTCTCTCTCCCTTTGCATCAGGACAGCCAATGCCCAGGCTTTGCAAGAAGCAGTGGAGCATTTCTGGGGTCCTGTCTTTGTGAGCTATGCAAAGGATATTTTATTTTTTACTTCACAGTTGCCATTGGTGAGTTAGGAAAAAATATACCCAAAAAGCTAAGCCTATACAGATCCATGATAAGCATTCTGCAGAGCTGATCCAGCTGCCAGAGCCTTGCATACAATTTTCAGTCTCTCTCTAAATAGTCTTTGATGAAATAGAGTTTTTACAAATAGAAGATAAGGAAGCACGAGCATCTCCAGTGAGGCACAGCTTGGCGTGGCCACTGTCACACCTCAAGTTATCCTCATTAGCCACAGGTACATTCACAAAGCCAGCTTTGAAACTGGATCCCTGGTCATTTAGCAGAGAAAGGGCAGGAGACTCACAGCAGTGATATTAAAATGAAATAAAAACATCCCAAAGAGTCTAGCTCCATAAAATGTAATTCTTTCCTTTGGCAGGGGCTTGTGCAGCTGAGTGTTGCTTTCCCGCTCACATGAATTGATGCAGCTCAAGTTTCCCTATGATATTTTGCTTCAAACGGCCCATTTCTGGAAAGGGATATTCACCAGAAGCCACTAGTGCTCTCACCTGCATATCTAACTACAAAAAAATTATATAAAGCTATCAGCAGGTCTGAGTTACCCATGAAATAAGCTCAGCTTTTGCTTGCATATTTCAGTCATTTCTAGTTCAGCCATTTATTAGCTTCCAGTTGGATAGCAATGGTCCATCTCAGTTCAAACTGTACAAAACTGAGAGGTAGAAATCAAGAGCAATTAATAAAGCAAGAAAACAAGCAAGAAAGATGAACAGAACACATTGATGTGGAGAACACGGAAAAAGTTTGCCCAAAACAAACCACATTCAAAGTTGATTCTGTAGGGCCTGAACAGGCATGGGCTGTGAGTTGGCTGAGTAGTTGGGAAACAACTAGTCCTTCCAGCCCTGGGGATACTGAGGACTGCCAAGGGAATTCCTTGTTGCTGCTCTCTTCAAACCGCCCACATGCATGGGATCATCTTCCCTGCTATTTCAGGAACATGTAAAAATATTGCATGAGAGCAGGCCTGAAACTGCTTCACCCTTGAGTCCACACCTCAGTGCAGCTGTGAGTTCTGATTAGTGTCCCCAAGGCAATTGCTGATGAGGATGCAATTCTGATACAAAAGCGTGGCCTGAAAGCTGGCATCCTTCCAATGTGGCATTCCCAAACTGTTGTTCATAGACAGAAAACAGGAATATCCTTGACTTTAAAGCAGTACCTATTTTAGGAAGGGCAAGATCAGGAGAAGGAGAGCACTGGGATCCATCCCCTAACTCAGGCATACAAATGCAATGGTCATGGCAGACCCCATTTCTCCTTGGCTGCAGAGACCTCAGGCTATGACCACTCCTAGCAGCAGGAAACTGGCCTGTAAGTGGCACAGAGTGGAAAGGAAAACCTTTAAAACAAAAGAAATTGAATAATTGTAAAGGTCAAAAACCATATACTCAATTAAGCGTTGTGTTTGTCAACAAAACCAGTTATCCAAAGGTCCTCTGAATCACAGGTCAGGAGTCCAGAAAAACCGTATCTCGAGCAATATTAAGGGTATGTCAGTGAAAAGACTGCCATGTATTTATTTCCTTTCTCTGTAGATACTCTAAGCTGTCAGATCCTGCAAACTGGCTGAACATTAATGCCACAAATGGTCAGATCACTACTGCTGCTGTCCTTGATCGAGAGTCAGACTACATTAAGAATAATGTCTACGAGGCCACATTCTTGGCGGCTGACAACGGTGAGCCCAGGCTTCACATTGTTCATGCTTCAATAAGACTCTAATGTGATGCATTAAGAGAAATGATGCCCTGACAGAGTTGTCAGTATAAGTTATCTTTTTTCCCAGGTTTTTATGGTCAAAAATGTGAAAGTGGGACGGGAAATTGCTGGAGTAAATTAAATGTGCACAGTATACGGAGAGTGTTATTAAGGGAAAGGGAGGACAAATGGAAAATCGATTTGGGGAGTTCAGTATAGCGGTGTAGCCTGAACTTAAAAAAATGTCAAAGGGATGTGCACTCCAAGGACTGCCGAGCACACCAGTCCTGGGGATCATCCCAAAGGCACTGATCAGAGCATTCAGGATGCCCTCCCATCAGGAAACCAGAAATAATTGTAGGGGGATGACAGGAGGGTATTAAATATAAGCCCAGCTGTTGAACTATGTGTCTGTCTGTCTGTCTATCTGTCATCAGAGCTGATCACTTTCTTGCCCATCTGGGTGCTGGTGTGCTTTATCACCAGAGCCACTGAGGCCAGTCAGTGTCTTCTTTCTTGGAGAAGTCCTGTTAAAGCTTGTTCTTCTCTACTCATTAAAGATCACTCAGTGCTTTTGGTCAGATTAGCACTAAGGACCACAGTGCTGGCCTCGCTCAAGGCAAGCAGCCCGTGTCTGCTGCCCTGTATTTCTCTTCCTGATTTAGGGGAAGCTGATGATTTTTGCTCACCATACCTAAACGTGGCCATGCTGGTATTTCATTCATCACTTCCTCCAGGTGGAAAAGGCTCTGTCAAGGGCTCAGGAGTTTCCCAGGGACACGAGAGGGCCTTCCTCCCCCTTTCCCACCCTCGCCTTCCTGCTGCAGGGTGCTGAGCACTCACTCAAACCAGAGCCATCCTTCAGCAGCACAGTGAAGTCTGGCCTCGGCTGTGAGCACCCTTGTGTACTACTCTGCAGGTGCTTTCAGGGCAGTGTTTGTGTTAGATATTGTTGTCACTCAGGCTGGTGATGCTCGCAGGGCTATTGAAAGCTTCCTCCCTCTGGGGTTCCACAGATCACTTCAGTCATTGCATCCCAGGTCACAGGGGCGAGGGAAACTGCTGGAAGAGTTCCAGGGCTGAGGAGGTCTACCAAGAAGTGCATTTTACCTCTTCTTTGAATGGTAGGACTGGTCCCACTGCCCTGTCTTAAGCTTCACCTCCACGAAGGCAGCTAGGACAGTGAAATCTAAAATATTCTCAAGCTGGTCTAGTGGTATTCACCTGCAAGAGCTGCAGGGTAAAACAGCTCAAATGAGTTGGCCAAGGTTGTTCTCAAAAGCATCAGTAGAGCTTGAACCCATCAACCAAATCCTCACCATCTGAAAATCCTGGGCACTTAGTAGAATTTGATGTGGAGTTAACCCCTTTCCTTGGCTTCAGTGCTGATGCTGCAGCGCATCAGCGCCTCCACATCCATCCATCATTCAGCAGCTCAGAAAATGAGGACCTAGATAAATCTCTTTAGTCTGAAAAATTAATCTATCACTGTTATATTGCAGCCATTAAAATGCACATAAAGCAACACCTTATTTAAAATTCTGTCTAGAGTGCTTAGGATAACAGCTAAAGTTTCATCTAGGCTAATAGACTCTTTCCACATTTCTCCCAAGTTCCAGATTCTCCAGCATCACGTACTCATCAAAGAAAGGGTTTGGGTCAAGGGTTTTGGTGGGGATTTTTCTTTCTTTCTGGAGGAAGCAGCAGTGCCTTTTCCTTGAAGTTCTTTTTGCTTCTCAGTACATGGAAAAGAAAAAGTTTAGCCAAATACTTCTTGGACGTGTTCTCCTTCTTTCCCTGGGCTATAGTGCAAAGATACTCACTTTAGGAAAAGTCTTGGCTGCAGTGTTAGGGGGTAAAAGGGGAATCCTAATTGACAGCAGTTTTAACCTGGCTTCCCAGGAGAGACTCTTGGACCACGCTGTGCCTACACAGGTGTGGAGCCTGGTGGTGTTTGAACCCTTCAACCAGTCTCCCAGTGAGGCTCACAGAAGTTGAATATATCATATTCCAACAGGTTTCATGAAATAGGGAGCTAAATAGGTGAGAGAGAGTCTGTCTCTGAAGGAAGACCTTCCTGCCCCTTCCTCAATATCAGAGGACCTCATGGGAATTCACCATGGGGCCCAGCACTGTGGGAAAACAGGCTGAGTGCACATTCCTGCTTCTCTGCACTCAGTGACAGGAAGATGCTGGTCAGCCACAGGCACAGCTTACTTCATTTCTACCATGATTTGTCAGGACAGTGGCCCAAGTTCGTTAGAATTTTTTGCACAGGCAGGATGTGAGTGACTCCTGCTTGCAGCTGAACATGAAAACCTTGGCTTATGCCCTTCTGCAGGAATGTGGACTCTGGCACTGTAAAAAAGGCAGTGAAGGAGAATGCAAAAATTAAATGTATATGTAGAGGTTGTGTATTCCTCCTTCTTTTGTCATTAGTATTTCAGTCTTAATTTCAGGGAGCAGACCAGCTTCTCCAGTGGAGTCAGAGATGCTGTCATAGTCCTCATCTTGAGCATAAAATCAAAGAATCCTTCATTTTATATCAGAACCTGCTCTATCTGTGTCCCTGCTCTCTCCACAGAAGACAGCTGAAATAATGTGAAATGTTCCATGCTTCCACTTGGCCATTTAAAAAATTGTTTGTTTTTCATTTCTCCTGAAACTGCCCCAGAACTGCACTCAGGAGCACAAAGCAACAAAAGTACCAGGACACAGAGCCCAACAATACTCAATAGCCCCACAAAACCACATTTGTATGTGCAGCAATTGCAGGTTATTTCAGCCACGTGCCAGTTAGTGCCTCTCAGGACCGAGGGTTTGTGTTCAGTCTGTCTCAGAGGTTACAGTGGGGGCCTTGCTTTTATCCCAGAAGATATTCTGGGTAATGTGAAAGCACTAAAATCACTTTGCTTCATCCCGAAAGTCAGTTTTCATGTTTAGCCCCAGTGTCCTGATGGTCTATGTGTCTCTCCAGAACCTTTCAAGGCTGATCAAAAGACATTGTTTTGGAGGGTAAGCACCTACCCCCGTGCTTACTAGATGAAAGGATGAGATCAGTAATTGAAGAACTTATGTAGGAACCATGAAAGAAGCATTTCCAGGGCTCCTTTAGAATTTTCATGGCTCCCTTGGGAAATGGAGAAAGGAATGTAGGAAGGAAAGTCTGTGGAGGCAGAATTCTGGTGGGGAAGTGGTGTTTGTAGCTTTGTATCCAGCACTGGGAGGAAAAGCCAGGACTGAAAATACATACTTAAAAAATAATTGCTGAAGCAACACTGTGGGAAGGGAGGCAGGCAGCGAGCAGACCAACACACAGCTGCCAGAGAAATGTGTGGGGAGAGAAATGAAAAATACTGAGCCATTTTCTGGGAAGGCTGCTCCCTCCTGCCAGGACAAGTATTATTTGTGTAACTGCTCGTGAGTCAGACAAATTTGGCTCTCCATCAGAGAGGGGCTGGAGGACCAGGACTGCTGTGCTGCAGAATCTGTGCTGGTTGGGACAGACATAGAAAGGATGAAGAACTGTATATTGGGACATCAGCTGCTGTCAGGGGTCAGTGGCATCACCCAACATGTTCAGTGGGAATTGACTCTTACTGTAGGCTGCCAGCAAGGACCTTTCACCACTAAATCTGGAGTGGGATGTGGGACATGCTGGAGAGCTGGGCTTTCTTTAAAGCAGTTTAATGTTCTGCAGATCTGTAACTGGCCAGCAGGTGCTACAGTAAATGCTGACCAAGAGTTTACACTGCTTGAGGTTTTTACCCCTCCAAGCCCTCTTCTTCCTCTTGTCAGCTATTTTGCTAATGTTTTTTTCTTCTTCAAAACAGCCATTACCAAGATTTGCAGGAGCAGCTTGGCACCACCTGCTTGTAACTTTAGTTTGACTAAGGACATCACTGTAGGCTACAGATCCTCAGGACTCTTTCAACCTCCACATTCTGCAGGAGCGAAAAAAAACATTAGGAGGCTTGGGGAAGTCTTAATAACACCTCATAAAGCAAGGGACCATGAAAGTGCAGTATGTCCCTAATAAGGTCCAAGGAGGGAAGGTGAATAACCTGGTTTATTGAAATAGGAAGGCAGAGAGGGGGCGGGTCCGTGGTGTCGTTGATCCCGGTGCTTCCCGAGTGACGGCCACGGGTCCGTGTTTGGCTCTGCCTCCCCCCATGCAGGTATCCCCCCCGCCAGCGGCACTGGCACCCTGCAGATCTACCTAATCGACATCAACGACAACGCTCCCGAGCTCCTGCCAAAGGAGGCACAGATCTGTGAAAAGCCAAACCTGAATGTCATCAACATCACAGCCGCGGACGCTGACATCGATCCAAACGTCGGGCCCTTCGTCTTCGAGCTGCCAAGTGTGCCATCTGCGGTGAGGAAGAACTGGACCATAACACGGCTGAATGGTAAATGGGGCAGGCAATCCTGAGGACATTTGGGCTCTCGTTCACTAATGAGGCCACGTGCGGTTTCCAACTTCCAAACTTCGCTACTTTTTTTCATCCGATTTTTGTTTTTTCAAAGCACATTATGGCTGACTTTATAGACAAGATAGTTAATCAGGAATGATTTGTATCAGACCTGCAGCATAACTCTAAGAGCCTTGGCACTTGGCTTTTTTTAATGCAGTTCATAATTATGAACAGTTATCAGTGGTGAACAGAGTATAAATCATCCATAATGGCCAAGGGGAAAAAAGCTATTATCAGTCTTCCTTATGTTCCTCCAGTGTAATTGTCATAAGCCACAATCAGGATCAATGTTCATTTCTCTGACCATAATTGCATAAAGGCAGCCTTTTAATTTACCATGGAACCAGGAGGGCTAGGTAAGTGTGAAGATTACCAGTATGTGAAGGATTTTTATATTGCGGCATGCAACCACAAATGGCCCTAATTGCTCTGCTTATTGGTAGTTTCAACAGAGGATGGAAAATGTCATGGAGTTATGGGCTGGTTTTGGCTTTGTAGCTGGCTGCTCTTGCTGAGGTCTGGCACCCTTTGCCAGACCAGGGGCAACAGCTTGTGCCCTCGCAGCTCAGGGCTCAATCCCTGCTGTATCACAGTGGGATTACCTGGCTGAGCGTGTCATCAATGGGCTTCCCAGAAATTCCGAGGTGGGAGGGTGGATGAAACCATAACCTCCACAGTGGCCAGGGGCAGCCTAGCCTCAGGGAGCATTATCCATGTGTTACTATTTGCATTTGCATTTGATGCCATTTTGAACGCAGGCAACTGGAATTGCAAATGGCATCAAGGTAGGTTAGTGCAGCAGTGAAAACACACGGTAGTTTGCAAAGCACAGGCTGGTTGTTGGCCAGACTGTTAGGGCAGAAGTCTGAAGCTTTCCTGCCTGGGTGTGTTGTTGAGAGCCTCTTCTTCAGGACTCTGCTCATTGCAGAGGAGCCTGCACAAGTGTGACTGCAAGGCTCTACGAGTGTCTGTCATCTGTCTGTCCATCTGGGTCTCTCCAGGTGATTACGCCCAGCTCAGTTTACGGATCATGTACCTGGAGGCGGGTGTGTATGATGTGCCCATCATCGTGACAGACTCAGGAAACCCCCCCTTGTACAACACCTCTGTCATCAAGGTGAAGGTGTGTCCGTGCGACGAGAACGGCGACTGCACCACCATCGGGGCCGTGGCCGCTGCAGGGCTGGGCACGGGGGCCATCATTGCCATCTTGATCTGCATCATCATCTTACTGAGTAAGTACTGCAGGGGCTGGCATGGAATCCCAGAATGGTTAAAGATCATCTCATTCCAACCCCCTGCCATGGGCAGAGGCACCTTCCACTATCCCAGGTTGCTCCAAGCCTCATCCAACCTGACCTTGAACATTTCCAGGGATGGTGTAGACACACATTCTCTATGCTACTGCCTCACACCCTCACAGTAAAGAACTTCTTCCTAATATCTACTCTAAATCTACCCTCCTTCCTGTTTCCCAGCCTGTTGCCTGTTGTCCTGTTCCTATAGCTGGTATTTTTCAAGCTCCGTGCAGAGGCCAGATCCCTGAACTTTGGGCTGTGGGGTTGGTTCATACATCTGCATTCGAACCTCCTTCCCTGCAGCATCAGCAAATTGAGCTCTGCCTGTGTCAGACTTGTCTTTCTAAGACTTACAGTAGTTTTACAAACTTCATTATACCTGACAGCAACTTGTAGGGAGTGTGTGTGATAAGATTCTCCACATTTTGCAGGAAAATGTGATGGACTCTTCCAAATCCTGTTACACTCTCCCCCATAGCTCTCAGGTCCCTGGCTGGCTATGGCTATACTGGTTCCCATTGTTTATGAGAGTCTGGCTAGTCCCTGGCAGAGCCAGCACATAGTTGTGGTTTTCTGATTGTTCCAAGGAGAAGAAGAGCAGTAGATATTCTTATTGCCTGTAAAATGACCTCAGATTGGTTAATCATGGAGGATTGTGAGTGTAGAGGTAGGATCCCCAGCTTGTCAGGAGCAGTGGAAGGCTGGGGGTGGATCACAGAGAAGGGGTGGCCATCCCTTTGCTTGAGGCAAAACCATCTCTTTTGCCCAGCAATGCTGTCAGTCCTGAGCATTACCAATAGCCATGTGTGCACACCCTTAAAAATAAAAATGATATCATTATAACTTCAAGCAGGAGTTGGCACAGTAGGAATAGATAAAAACAAGAGCTGAAATGTACAATGAGGTAAATATTCATCAAGAAGCACAGGATGAATCCATGAGACTCTCATTAAAACTAATAGGAGTTACGGTGCTAAATCACATTTAATATTTACCCCTGGTGTGTTTGAACAGAGAGCAGACAGAGCAACGTATGCTGCAAATGTCACCTAATGGGGACATGATCCGGTGCATTAAGAGAATGGGTCATCCCTGGGCAAACATCCACCCTCCTGGGCCAGTGATGGGAATGTATTGGTTTATAATTCATCTACTGGATCAGGCCGGAGAGTGAGCAAGAAACAGGGTGTTTGCGCAGACCCCGCTCCTCACCCAGCCCAGCCAAGCCCATGGGAACATCCCTGTGCCCAGCCATGATGTTCAATTCCTCTCCTTTGTTGGGTGTGGGGTCCCAGTAGAAAAATGCTTTGGCTGCTCCCTTCAGCAAAGGGGGTTTTATGGTGAATGCACATCAGATGAAGACACGGATTTCGTCAGCCCCACCACCTCCAGTGCACTGGGGAGTGCAGGTGTGATGGGACCCCTGGGCTCGAAGTTTGCACTGGAGCCACAGAAGTGATTAAACACAGGTCTTCTTTTTGCTGCTCTTGTACAAATCCAGTGCTAAAATACGATTTAGAACAGTTGAAAATCCTATTGACTGAAATTAACTTCAGCTGAAGGACATTTGATTTAAGAGATCCCTCTTTCCATTTTCAGATACATTATCCCATTTTAAATTACGGGTTTTATTACAAAAGCTTATTTTTACATTCATTGTAATTCTAATTGACTTTTTTTTTTTATCTTCAAGAGCTGCAAAGCACTGTATCAGCGATGAAAAATGTAATTTGCAATGAGCAGTTTTACTGTTACATCCTCCCAGTGTTTGGCCTCCTTTCTATCTGTTTCATATCATGACCTCTAAACAATAACCTAGAAGAAGGCAGATGTGGGATTTTTTTGTGCTATTTGTCCATTTTAGAGTCAGCAGGTCAAAGTTTGATGACTTTAAAAGGAAGAAGCAGCAAGGGGACCGATCCAAGATTGCTCCTGTGAAGGAAGCTTCTGCCTTTACCTTTGCTCAAAGGGGTTTTTTCTTCTTCTTGCTACCTGATGTATTAGCTGCACAAATAACACGTTTAGAAGAGCAATGCAGTAAAAAATTGTGAAGGGTGAAGACAATAGATTTCAAGGAAAACTACATGCAGAGTGAAAATGGGTCTAACAGCAGTAATAGCACTTCCCATTCTGCAGAGTGAATAAAAGGAAGGAGAGTGCACTATATCCACCATTGACACTTTGAAGGTCTTTTTTTTTTTCCAAGGTAGCTGTAAAGGCGTTAATGGCACAGTTTTTCCACAAGTGCATGAGAAAAGTATCATTAAAAAAAAAAAAAAGAAATAAAAAGATAAACCTCAGTAACCATTATAATATTGTCTTTGTGGACCAGTCAGGTATCTTGTTGTGAGAGACTTGAAAAGGAACAACGAGAAAGGGACTTCAATAGTCTGCTAAATAGCTGAGGTTTTATATTGCAGATAAGAGTTACATTTTCTTTCCTTTTCTTTTTTACTGTCTTGAATAGATGTGGGATAAGCCTTAAAGAAATGTTGAAGTATCTGGAAACAATTCTGTTGGCTGGCAGGTGGGGATGGCCGCCAGTTGGCACACAATGGCAGTAATTAGCTGTCCGGTCCTTTTCCGCTTACTTCCCTGAATTCCTGTTGGGTATAAACACTTTGATGCTGTGAGGAATAGCTGGGATCCTCCTAACCACCTCCTCCCGTGGAGGGGCTGCAAGCTGGGCTGCCTAGCCCTGTCCCCGAGGGTCTGGTCTCAGCTGAGAATCACAAAAGTTTGGGATCTCACATCCTGCCTGGGTTTGCTTGTGTTGGCTGCACTGGCTTGGCCACAGTTGAGGATTGACTCGGGTGAAATGAGCCTGGGCCACACATTCCCACTTCCACTGTCCACCCATCGCTCCCTTCTCCTGCAGACTGCCACTTTTGCAACTTGTTGTGGGGCTTGCATGGAGAGTGGAGGGTAAAGCAGACAGTGGGAGGTGTAACTGCATCAGCTGCCCAGGCTTAACTTCATTTGTAATTACATTATTTGCAGCTACTGAGTATGAGAATGAAAACGAACATATTAACAGGTTCTTGAAGAAGACAAGGTCTGGCTGCCTTATGTTAATGGAGACTTAAGTTCCCATATCAACTTCCATGCAGTAATTCTCAGGGAGAACACAGCCCCTGGGATGCGGGAGGCCCTTTGGAGGGTGAGATTGTGGAGCAGGGAGCCAGTGTTCCCTGTGGGTAAAGCTGTTCAAGGAGGGAAAAAATTTCACATGATTCAAGAACTGTTCATCTGTCCCTGTTACTGTACTGACAGAGATTAGCCAAGCCTGGCATGCAAATGCTGATGCCTGAGGAGCTTGGCTGTGTGCTACCAGATTTGCTCTCCCTTGTTCTGCAAAGCTATCCCTGCTTTCTGAAGGGATTTCAGATGATCTGAGATCTGCTTTGCAAGTTGATGGCCAAATGCATGCGCTAATGTCCTGGCTAATGTAAGCTGGGAAGTCTAAAGTGTTTCCCTCATGGACCAAAGAAGAATATAAGGGAGCCCAAATTGGATTATAGGACCCAGTGTTGTGCAACCTTCCCAGATCAGTCTTGCCTGGCCAACTGTAGAGAGCACCAAAGTGACTGTCACACTCAGGGCTTGTGACCTGAACAGGCTGAACCTGTGTCACACTGCTGGAACAGCACCTTGTGCACAGGTGTTGGGTATCTGTCCCCATTTCCTTCTCTGCAACTCTCTTCCTTCTGTCTTTATTTTATACCCCTGAATAAAATAAAGGTGGAAATCTAATCCTAAAAATTCAGGATTTAGACTGAATATTTTCAGAAAGCCGCAGTTTTCACACTTCCTGTTTTCCTTTGATTGTGTGTTTTACTCCTGATAAACATCATCTCAATCAGCGTTGGTGACGGGATCTTCAAGAAATGTTTGCAGTGCAGACCTGTCACAGCATTTACGTCTCTCACTGATCTCTCTTTGAAAAATCAGAACGTGCAGTACAATAACATTTTATTCCCAGTGAGGTTTTCCATAGTGGACAAGGGCAGGTGAGGTGCTGGGACACTCCAGCATGTCCTCGTGGTGCAGGAGGTCCCAGCTCACCCCCCTTCTTCCCCGTTGCAGCCATGGTCCTGCTGTTCGTGGTGTGGATGAAGCGCCGCGAGAAGGAGCGTCACACCAAGCAGCTCCTGATCGACCCCGAGGACGACGTCAGGGACAACATCCTCAAGTACGACGAAGAAGGAGGTGGAGAGGAAGACCAGGTGAGAGGAGCCTTTGGGTTGTGGCCGAGGAGGAGCTGTGCAATCTATACGCTCAAAAAGGCAGAAACCACGTTATTTTCACTACAGCACGTGCAAAGGGTTGTGTCCTCCTTGTTCATGACCAGGCAGCTTTACTGGCTTCCCTAGTGTGGTGTGGACATTGGTGAGAGCCAGCAAGTCCAGGAGATTCAGCACTGGGACACCTTCCTGTGCAAGCAGGACCATGCCAGGAGGCTGGTGCACATTGTGGTGGTGCATCCAGCTCCCCCCAGTCTTTCGCAACACACGTGGATTTTTCTACCCCCTGGGCAGCTTCCTGGGGGAAGGACTGTAAATCAGTCCATTGACACTCATGTTCAAATAGTATTTTTGTTATTTCAGTCCTTGAAATTGTGTATTTTACCATTCCCCATCAGAGACCATCATAAAACCAGCCAGCAGTCACCACCCTCCCCAGCCCTGTGGCTGCAGGCGCTTGGCTTGGCTTGCTTGAGCCCTGAGCTTCCATGGGTTTTCCCTGCATTTACTTAGTCCTCTCTAATGTACCTTTAATTTCCTTTAATTTCTAAACATGATTTGTGAGAAATGTCCAAACAGATCTGGGGATTTTCTCTTTCACCACGGAGCACGCGGTGGCAAAGCTCTGCTGGGTGACAGAGCCCTGAGCCACAGGCTGCCTGAACACGTCAGCTTTTCTGCGGTGCCACTTCTCACAGACACCGAGGCTGATGTTGCATGAAAACTTCCCTGGCCTGCACTCCTTTTCCACTGCTACTGATGTATTTCCTGTGCTAAAATAGCAAAGTTTGGTAGCTCATGTTTGTAAGTTGCTGGTCTTTTACTCCTGCCTAAGGCCAGTAAAGAGCTCGGGACACTCTCAGATATGATGGCCGTGCAAATTGTGTGACTCCACGTCATATAATGGCTTTATTCTTGCTTGTTGAATTGGACTGAGTGGTTCAAGGTCAGTGACTGGGACTGGTGCTCAAGGAGCCCACAAAACCCCTGCAGCACATCCTGCCGTGGTATCCGAAGGCAAGCGGGTGAGCCTGTTGAGAGCTGCCATGACAAGCTGAGGCAGGGACTTACCCAAACCTTGGGAAGTTCTTATTCCACAGAGAAATCCTCACAATTAGCATTTCTTTTTTCTTGTCACTGTCAAGTTATTTATAAATATTGCTCCTGGAGTTTCAATCATCCCCGTCTGAGCACAGGGATAGTTTTACCAGTGGAGGAAAGTAGTGTTATAAGCATTCCAACTAGCTGAAGTATCTGATTTCAGGCAACTACACTGTAGGCTTAAATATTTTAGGAAGTATTCATTAAAAATAACAGCAAAGGAAGAACAGCAAAACACCATTACCTACATGAATACATTTTTAATGAAATATTACCTGGTTCTTATTCCGTGATAGAAACCTATTCTGTTGGGATTTTTCACAAGCAAAAAGAGCATAATTACTTTGAAAGGCCTACATGCATAAATGCAATACACATTTTAATGTTTTTGCTTCTGCAGAAATGTAATTGCAATAATATGTCTACCAACGCTGTGTCTCTACATTATATTATGTATTTCATCAAAAAGTTACGGATACACCTCTGCACATGCACACAAAAGCCCAGTTTTTGTCCTAAATATTTCGGCGCTGTGGGAAATACTGAGAAAATATTTAAATACTTGATTTAACTTATGTTACAAGATACACTCTTAGGAGGGCAATTTTATGAGCTACTCAGAGTTCAGGTTCATCTGTAATTTAGATAGAGGGGCTGCATGCCTGTGGATAAGATTTGCCATCAAATTTCAGCTGAAACAGAATTACACCTCTCGACTTGTTTGCACATTGGGTGAGCAGATGATCTGAATAAAAAGCCCTTGGTTTCACACTGTGCCTTCCTATTTGTCACAGGATTACGATTTAAGCCAGCTCCAGCAGCCAGAGACCATGGATCACGTGCTGAACAAGACACCCGGAGTCAGAAGGGTGGATGAAAGACCTATTGGTGCTGAACCACAGTATCCTATCAGACCAGTAATCCCACATCCAGGGGATATTGGTGATTTTATTAATGAGGTATGTTCTGCAGGGTGTCCTGTGTCACATCTTAAAAGCTTGAGCAGCCAGCTAAAGTCAGGTTTCCCCGACTGCATGGACCAAGTGATGCTGTTGCTCACACCAGAAGTCTGATGCAAGCCAGGGGAAGTATTGGCACGAGCAAAGGACTTGGCTTAATAAAGGCTTTGAATGTGTAAAATCCAAAGTGGAAGCAAAAGGCCCAAGATTTCTGTCTTGTGGATATCACAAACACCACACTTTTCAGCACCCAGACAGAAGGAACCATTTGTGGCTCCTGGAGTTGTAATTATTTCAGCAGTCTGTGCCTTACTAGTAAGCTCTGCTTGGTGTAAAGGCTCAAAGAATTTGCAGCACAGAGAGGCTCATCTCAGATCAGAGAGGGTTTCTTTATTTTATGTTAGATTACTGCTTCTCTATCTGCTTGTAGAAAATATCTATCCATTTGGTATTTTCTTATCTCGTTTTTAGTTTTGAGTGATTGAGTGGTTACAAACCAATCAATGCATTATTTCCTCCAAGACAAAGCATACCATCCATTTCTAAAGCCAGAAAAATAAATGTTACAGCCATTTAATTCTATTATTACATGCATTTCCTGCTGTGCTTTTTCTCATTTTCATCATTAAAACCCCTTCTTCCTTTGTTCCTGCCCATCCTTCGCTCACATTTACACACATCCATGCTCGTGAAGACTCGCTTGTACACGCATCCCAACTCTTTTCACTTCAGTGAAACCAGCTCCATCTCCCCACACAGAGGCTGAGGGTTCTGAAGGTGGAAACGTGGAGCGTTTTGCTTTATTGCAGGTCTATTCCACCAGGCTTTCCCTGATGCTGGGCTGCAAAAAAGCAATTCTTTTTCTCCATATCCCGAGGCCATTTCCGTGGCCTGCCTATGCTGCTGCCCACAACACACAGGAGCAGCGATGCTTCCCAACCCTCCGCCCAGGATCTCACACCCCGTGTCTGTCCTAATTGCAGAATTTTGCTAGGAGTGATTTTTTTAATTTTGTTTTCCTAAAGGACGGAAAATCATCCGAATTAAAGTAATTGTAGGAGAGGAAGGGTGTGCTGTTCCTTCTTCCACTGGAAATCTCAACAGGCAACCCCAGAAAGGACCCACTGGCCAGAACAGAAAGCTTTCCAACATCCCAGCAGCCCAGACACCCTTCCTGAGCGCCATAAAACCCCATGGTGGGTATTAACACCGTGTGTTTGCTCCCCCCAGGGCCTGCGGGCAGCAGACAACGACCCCACAGCCCCCCCATACGATTCCCTGCTCGTCTTTGATTACGAGGGCAGCGGCTCCACCGCCGGCTCCGTCAGCTCCCTCAACTCCTCCAGCTCCGGGGACCAGGACTACGACTACCTGAACGACTGGGGGCCCAGGTTCAAGAAACTGGCGGACATGTACGGGGGAGGCGAGGAAGATTAAACTGACCTCATCTTATTTAAAAAAAAAAAAAAAAAAAAAAAAAAAAGAAAAAAAAAAAAAAAAAAGGAAGAAGAAGAAGAAAAAAAAATTTAGGAGAAAAAAAAAAAACACGACAAACCCACAGACGACAACGTTAACAAAAAGAGCCGATGCAGGAGCAAGAACTGTACAGATGTGGCAGCTTTTTTAATTAATATCCCCTGCTGACTGTATTGTTATTTTTAGTGGTGTTATAGGAGGTTTCTTTTTTTTTTCTTTTCTTTTTCCTTTCCATTTTTTTTTCTTAGAATATTGAGCTGTCTCGCATGAACACTTGTCTCTGCTGCAGGTTTCTTTTTGTTGTTTCGGTTTTTTAATGTCAGCTGGGATATTGCTCGTTTACCTGCTTTATGACTAAAGAGAGTGAAAGGCACTCTGTCTTAACTTGAATTTCTTAGAACAGAAGCACTGTTTTTAAAATATATATATATATATATATTTGAAAGTGCCTTTTGGTGCATGTGTCAGATTCCCTTCAATCTCAGGAGTGATGAAAACAAACATACAACCATCCTGGGCAGCACTCCCTGTGACCCTAAGCCAGTTCTAGCTGGGAAGGAGTTAACAAAAAGGAACTGTGGAGATTGTTTCTTTTTTGCCTTTTTTTTTTTTTTTTTTTTTTTTTTTTTTTTTTTTTTTTTTTTTTTTTTTTTTTTTTTTTTTTTTCTTTTTAAGGGGGTGACTCATTCTGGGGTGGAAAAGAAGGGGAGGGAGGGGGGAAGATGTTTTGAGTCAAAATCTTAACAGCCATCTTTAAGCCTCAGCAGGTGGTGAACTAGTCATCATGTTGTATATAATTCAGTGTTATCAGATGCAAAATACCGACCAGGGGCTCTGCTGGGCCCTGGTCACACTCAATGTAGCTGCATAGAACTATAGCATTGATAAAGCCTTTGGTTATTGCAACAGAAATCTCCAACAGCCCTTGCCTAAACCCTACAAAGTAAATCGTGACATGACCAAAGGCCCATCTGTTTGTTTTTATGCTATCGCCGTGTTTTGGCTCCCACGACCTCTCGAGTGATGTCCGTACCAGCTGGGTGAGGTGGTGGTGTCCCGCATCCCCGAGGATGCCCAACACTGGTGCTGCTCTCCTGGGGTGAGGCAAGGGTTTTGTGTGGCGGCTCCGCTCGAGGCCGAGGCAGTGCGAAGGACAGGGACAGGTTATCCACACTTTTCCCATCCCTAAGTATGGAGTTAGTGTAGTATCACGTCAATGCCTTGGAGCATTAGTAGCCAAAGCTCAACAACATCGTGTAACTCAGCTAATGTGTGTCCTTTCTATTCGATGGGTAGGCGCTGCTATCTGTAGTAAATGTGTTTTTTTGGAGAAGAAGTGCAACAAGGGCCTATTAAGTATCTTGTGGTTAATATGCTCAAGCATTGCCAAGTAAGCAAGAGGTTTCGCAGCATCCAGGCGTAATTCAACATCAGTATTATAAATGGTAGCAAACTACCTAGTTTATATGTAGGGTCAGTTTAACCAATAACAAATAGTTATTAGCTTTTTTTATTACATTTTTCCTTTACTGATTTGGACTAGTGGGTTTATGTCTAATGTTTGTAAAATGATTTAGACTGCATGGATGTGTAATATAAACCACATTTAATGGATTATGAGCCACTTAATTAATGTGCTATGAAATCTTGGATTACCTGTGTTTTATATTCTGCAGACGATTTTGCAGTGGGTTCGCTAAAACTTGTAAAAGTGCTTAGATATATTTTCATTTAAATCCAAGAATGTGCACAGTATTGGAAGGTGATTATCCAGGGGATAATCATGCTTTTTTTGATATCTCTATTAATTCTCAAGTTGAATGCTAAGAGTTAAAAGGGGGGGCGGGGGGAGCGAGCGCGTGCACACGAGAGCGAGAATGAGAGGACGAGAGCTTGCGGTGATGAGTGGGCGCCTTTCAGAGGGTATTCTGGGCTGCAAGATCGTCTCTATAGATTTTTGAAATGCTCCTAGTGCATTTTATATTTCATTGTATCATATTTTCTATAAAATGCAATTTCTGTAAATTAATGAGCATTTGAAATGTGTCTTGTATGAAGTGGAATGTGGTAAAAAGTCTGCCCGAGGGGACTCCGGTGTTACTGGTATGTTATTAACTACCAAGGATGCCATCTTTCTTTCTGTCTTGGTCAATCAGCTGGTCACTCAATGGGTCAGTTTGTCTTTCACGGCTCAGAGAGCAAACTCACTCTCACCCAAGTTTCCTGAGGAAACCAGGAGGCAATGGCTTGGACCTCAGGAGAGGGACGGCACCAATGGCAGCAGCAAGGCGAGGATATCACACCACAGGCATGGGCTGGCAGCACATGCCTTGGCCAGGAGGAAGGGCAGTGCCTGGCAAACTGCCAGCACCTGACACTTTTCCAAATTCGTGTTCCATAGTTGTGAATTCAGTTGTCTTGTGTCACCACTATGAAAGTCTTAGTTTGTTCCTGCCATGTGCAATCTCCCTCCTCCTGGTCACTCTTGGCAATCCTCACAGCCCTCGTCCCCAGCAGCCTGGCACAGAGGCTGCATGGCCCCACCAACCTCTGCTCTTTACCCATGGCACTCTTGATTCTTCCCCTTTTCTTTTGGAAAAGCCACAGGCTTGAAGTATTTCACCATCTGGGCTTTGCACCTCCACAGAAGCTGCCCAGGCACAGCAGTGGTGAATAATAAAAATGCACTTGGTGTTTCTTGCTGCCCGTCGGCGCGTTGTGTCTGTCACCATAACCTCGCCGCCAGCACAGGAGAAGGATCAGCTCAAGGGCTGGGTCATGCCAGTGGTTCTCCATCCCTTGGGTTGTTGCCACTGCCTGCCAGCTCTTTGCAGCTCCCGGGGTGCTCGTGTGGATCCTGCAGTGCCAGCCAGGTCTCCACTGTAAGCCGTGCCCTGCAGTCCACCTGACACAGCTTACCTGGGAGCAGCAGCTAAATCCCTGCTCCACAACGCTCGGTGTGTGACATCTGCTGCAGCTTTGGCTGGGATGATGGATTCCAGGTAGGGAAGGGGCTGGCAGAGGTGCGGAACAGCGGCTGCAGGGCCATCAGCGACATCCATCGTCCCACTGTCCCCAGGGGACCTACCGTGTGGTGAGAGGAGACGTTGTCAGACTTCAGCTTGTCTAAATGCTTCAGGTTTTTAAGAACATTTATGCAACCCGAGTCAAACAGAACTGTTTGAGTGATTAAAAATAAACCAACCTGTTTCCGTTGGCGACTTTTTTTTTTTAAATCAGCGGATATTTTTTCTGCAGCATTTGCAATCCAACCATTCCAGCCCCATGAGCCTATAAATCAAACCAACCACTTTATTGTGTTTTGACCCAGTTCTGCTCAGTCTCCCTCTGCAGGACCTCCTCCTTCTTTTCCTCCTTCTCTTCCTCCTTTTTCTCCCTTCATCCTCCCCCACTGAGTTTTACAGCCCCACAGGGAGCAGCAGCATCTCCTTGCAGTGGGACCAGCAGAAGGTAAGCAAGGGGCACATCCAGCAATGAAGACAGATCGCTTTTTACAAACCTGTTTGCTTCTTAGTGTTACTGATGGTTTGTAGCCCAGCTAAGAAAACTTACATTAATCCAAAGAGTCCCATTGAGAAGGTGACTGTACCATCCCTCTGTCCCCCTCTGATCCTCATGGATGTGACACGGTGTTGCCACTTACAGCTGGAGGTGACAGTGACTTGCAAGGAGCTATGGTAGGCAAACAACCACTTTGGCTGGTGTACAGTTGCTGTTAATTCTTACAGGCCACAGGTGATCAGTGCATTGAGATCAGAGTCCTTGTTCCCTGACTAATCTAAACTAAAGCATTAAACTAGTTAAAGAAGTGGTCCCCACCTCTTTGCACACCGCAAGGCTGTGGGGAAGGACTTGCTTTCAGGCAGGTGTAGGGGATCCCGTCCCTGAAACGCCACTGTCCCACCCTGTTATCCTGTACCCCGTAGCACTGCCAGGGCATACCACCACAGCTCTCCCTGCTCTCTACGGGATGGAGAGAGTGAGTTCCCAGGAGACTGAGACACGCTGGACACCTCTGGTGGCCTCCCTACCTCCTAAGGTTGAGGATTGCACATCCCCAAGCCAGGGACTGTGCAGGTCCAGTGTCGCTGCTGTACTCACAGCCACCTCAGCAGAGCATGACCACAGCCCTCTGTTTATCATGTAGCCTAATAACTGGGACAACCATCAGCATGGAAATGCTTTGCAAAGCAGGGAGGAGATTCATCAGGTAATTGGTGACAGTAAATAGGCAAGTCTGTTCTGGGTGTCCTAACACTAGTCATAGTTCCACTTCTGGTTTTGCAGTTCCTTTTCCTTTTTTTTTTTTTTTTCCTTTTTTTTTTTGGACCAGACGATGCCACTGGGGGTTCTACAGCAGTGATGGGGAATTCTCTCCTCATGGGTTTTTAGGGATAGTCAGGTCCAAATCCAGCCTCTGGAAGTAAGTGGGACTTTGGAGGCAGCCGTATCACCTGTAACTGCTTCGCGTAGCGCAGACACTCGGGCATTGGAGAATGGTAATGGACAGCGCAGAGTCTGCACCACAAAATATGCCAAGATTGCAACTTTGTTTAATCAAAAAAAAAAAACATATTAAAGGTGAAATATGGGACTTTTATTTGTGATGTCTTTTGGAGCTCTTCACTGTAAGTGTGGAAAAAATATTAAGAGGGGATACCGTATAACGATGGAAGCGTGTGTTCAAAACAGCAGCCAGACAATGTAGGTGGTTCCCACACAAATCAGTTTCATGGGGAAAATAAAAGTTCTTTCCACTACACACCAACCCCACATACAACTGCTCACACACAGTGTACATAATGTAGTTAGTGCTTGAAGCTACAGATCAATAGGGAAAAAAAAAGAAAAAAAAAAAACAACAACAACATATAGATGTATAATTGGAGCACTTACTCTTTTTTTCTTTTCTTTTTTTTTCTTTTTTTTTAATTTGAGCAATGGTTGTGCATGTTTCCTTTACGATGGAGAAGCTGTGTAGCAGCCCGCATGACTGTGGTTGTTCTCAAGGAAGACTTCTGCTGTTCTGCTGTATTCACGCTGAAGCGCAAAAGCGGTTTTTGCGCCCGTTAACCCAGTTCAAAAACCTTTTTTTGTAACCGTCAACAGCACAAATATTTTGTATTGTTGTTTGTACCATTTTTGTACCAAAAACAAAAGAGGGAAAAAAAAAAAAAAAAAAAAAGGAAGGGAAGGAAGTAAATGTTTTCAATGTGTTTTTAGTGCCACTGCAATCTTGGTTTCCAAACTGAGTGACAGGTTTGCTGATTTATTGTGTATCAAAGCTGAACTGGCGCACTGACGCCTGGCTCCAGTGTAATAAAAAAATAAAGTCCCCCTTTTGAATAGTCTCACTTGCTTTTTTTAATTATTACTATTATTATTATTATTATTAGAGTTTTATTTCATTTTCCTTCCTCACATGCC